TTAGAATACATATATTTCCTACACTCATTGATCTGGCCAGGGAATCAGAACGATGAAGTAAATAGATTAGAGCAGAACATAAATGACATACAGTGGAGATGGCGGGGAAGCCAACTTCTGAGCGAAGCGAAAGATAATGCGTATTGGAGATGGCGGAGAAGCCAACTCGATTTAAGCAAGCGTTAATCAACATTTATAGTCGGACAAAAATGAGTGACAGACATATGATGAATAAGATACGAAGTGTACACATAAATGCTCATGTAAAAGTATAGCCAAGGTTAATAAGCGAATAATGAACAAGATCAAAATATGACTAATAATATATAGGTGAATTGGCTTCGCCAGAAGCTAGAATAAAGTATATGAGCTTAACATATAAACTGATACTACAAGATCATCATATTAACATAAAGTAATACTAACTTGTGGTAGTAAATAACCCATTAAAAAAAATGCTTTTATGAGCATTTATGATTGATGCTGACCATGTTAGTTTTTCTATGAACTACTAGATGAATATATAAGAACTTTCGTCTAAATTAGAGCGAATAGTTTCACAGTATTTAGGCGCCCAGTTGATGTAAGGCAAATATATTATTCCTATTTAATACTAGATGAATGCCTTTGATCAAACTTAACTAACTAATGACATTATGATTTGACATGAAACTTTTTCTACTGTGAATAGTCAGCTTGGATATCTCATGTTCTTTTACCTCTACAAAGAATCAAATATAACATTCTTCCAAACGAACCTTTCCTTCTTTTTCTTTTTTGTTTATCTTCGGATGAATTTTCTGGAAGATAATTGGTTCACAGTATTCTTCAATGAAGTCGCGTTGTGTATATCTACAAATTTAATACACATAACAATAAATAGCTGGCGATTTATCTTTATACTTATCATATACTATAAATAACATATAATGATAGAATAAATACAGTGAAACAATAAGAGAAAGGTTATTCAAATCATAAATACCTAGAAGTTGTTAAAAAATCGTTCTATTTAGTTGTATTTTTCCTAACTAAACTAATCAGAATTTATATTGTACAACTAGGATTAAAACTGTTATATCCCATCCCCGTCGCCAGTTGTTATAACGTATAGGACTCTTAATATATATGGACGTGCAATTGGAGAGGAAGTGGAGTTTACTGATCGGACGCAAATGATGATTGAAATTGTACGAGCAGTCTTGGGTGCTAACCGGTCCTGCGATCTGCCTAGCCCAGCCAGTTGAGTGCAGAACACAAATAACAGCCTCGGCAATATGAATCATTATTTACAAACATACTGGGTTTTTATACAAACCAAAGTAATCAATAAACTGATTATAACTCAAGAATCGTATGATAATAAATCAAAGATCAAAATAAAGCTAATGATAAGAGAAATACGAATATGAATAGTTCAGTTACGTAATAATTGTACAATAGGAAATAGGCATTATACACTGGTCGATAAATAGTCCTCAGAGTTACCATTCATAATTCACCAGGGGATATAACAAAAACATTATAGAGTTGAGATCATGAGTCAATTGAAGCTAGACTACCATGGAAAACCTGGAAGCACTGGACGGCCGTTTCGTCCTATTATGGGACTCCTCAACTCTATAAAAATACTAAAATCTCCACAAAACCCCTTCTGATAATAATCAGGTGCTCACTAGTGACTGACTCCTTGAGGTATTTCCTGGAGTTCTAGTGAGAAGCAGTAACCGGTGGAGTTCAACCAGGTCTGTTGTGAGATAGGAACTCACTGATGACATTGGTGAATGGTTGCTCAATTTCGTGAATCAGTTGAAGTTAGAAATTAACACCGTTGGATACCAGCTCAGTGGTCTATCGGTTAAGGGCTTCGGCTCGAAACTGGTAGGTCCTGGGTTCGAATCCCGCGAGAGTGGGTTCGTGGACGCGCACTGCTGAGGAGTCCCATAATAGGACGAAACGGCCGTCCAGTGCTTCCAGGTTTTCCATGGTAGTCTAGCTTCAATTGACTCATGATCTCAACTCTATAAAAATACTAAAATCTCCACAAAACCCCTTCTGATAATAATCAGGTGCTCACTAGTGACTGACTCCTTGAGGTATTTCCTGGAGTTCTAGTGAGAAGCAGTAACCGGTGGAGTTCAACCAGGTCTGTTGTGAGATAGGAACTCACTGATGACATTGGTGAATGGTTGCTCAATTTCGTGAATCAGTTGAAGTTAGAAATTAACACCGTTGGATACCAGCTCAGTGGTCTATCGGTTAAGGGCTTCGGCTCGAAACTGGTAGGTCCTGGGTTCGAATCCCGCGAGAGTGGGTTCGTGGACGCGCACTGCTGAGGAGTCCCATAATAGGACGAAACGGCCGTCCAGTGCTTCCAGGTTTTCCATGGTAGTCTAGCTTCAATTGACTCATGATCTCAACTCTATAAAAATACTAAAATCTCCACAAAACCCCTTCTGATAATAATCAGGTGCTCACTAGTGACTGACTCCTTGAGGTATTTCCTGGAGTTCTAGTGAGAAGCAGTAACCGGTGGAGTTCAACCAGGTCTGTTGTGAGATAGGAACTCACTGATGACATTGGTGAATGGTTGCTCAATTTCGTGAATCAGTTGAAGTTAGAAATTAACACCGTTGGATACCAGCTCAGTGGTCTATCGGTTAAGGGCTTCGGCTCGAAACTGGTAGGTCCTGGGTTCGAATCCCGCGAGAGTGGGTTCGTGGACGCGCACTGCTGAGGAGTCCCGTAATAGGACGAAACGGCCGTCCAGTGCTTCCAGGTTTTCCATGGTAGTCTAGCTTCAATTGACTCATGATCTCAACTCTATAAAAATACTAAAATCTCCACAAAACCCCTTCTGATAATAATCAGGTGCTCACTAGTGACTGACTCCTTGAGGTATTTCCTGGAGTTCTAGTGAGAAGCAGTAACCGGTGGAGTTCAACCAGGTCTGTTGTGAGATAGGAACTCACTGATGACATTGGTGAATGGTTGCTCAATTTCGTGAATCAGTTGAAGTTAGAAATTAACACCGTTGGATACCAGCTCAGTGGTCTATCGGTTAAGGGCTTCGGCTCGAAACTGGTAGGTCCTGGGTTCGAATCCCGCGAGAGTGGGTTCGTGGACGCGCACTGCTGAGGAGTCCCATAATAGGACGAAACGGCCGTCCAGTGCTTCCAGGTTTTCCATGGTAGTCTAGCTTCAATTGACTCATGATCTCAACTCTATAAAAATACTAAAATCTCCACAAAACCCCTTCTGATAATAATCAGGTGCTCACTAGTGACTGACTCCTTGAGGTATTTCCTGGAGTTCTAGTGAGAAGCAGTAACCGGTGGAGTTCAACCAGGTCTGTTGTGAGATAGGAACTCACTGATGACATTGGTGAATGGTTGCTCAATTTCGTGAATCAGTTGAAGTTAGAAATTAACACCGTTGGATACCAGCTCAGTGGTCTATCGGTTAAGGGCTTCGGCTCGAAACTGGTAGGTCCTGGGTTCGAATCCCGCGAGAGTGGGTTCGTGGACGCGCACTGCTGAGGAGTCCCATAATAGGACGAAACGGCCGTCCAGTGCTTCCAGGTTTTCCATGGTAGTCTAGCTTCAATTGACTCATGATCTCAACTCTATAAAAATACTAAAATCTCCACAAAACCCCTTCTGATAAAAAACATTATAAACAAAGATGGATAATGGGTAGCGGTGGAATCCACAACTCATGTTTCATCCTATTTGGGATTCGTCAGCTGGATGTACCCACATCTCAGAGTTGATGTTCACTCTGAGACTCAAACTCATTACCATTCGCTACAAATGCCATCACGTTATCCACTTATCTACTGAGTTATGATAGCCACTTGCTTGTACAATGGGGTGAATTTTAAATTCACATGGTTTTGTTAACTTTTATCTTTCCATTGATTTTTAGGACTGCAATTGATCAGTCTCTTTTTGGCATATGTGCATCCTGTGCGTATTGACTCGATATAGACGTAATTCACAAGCATTATAAGCAAAGATGGATAGTGACTAGCAGTGGAATGTATCTGCATCTCAGATTTGATGTTCACTTTGTGACTCAAACCCAGTACCTTTCGCTTCAAACGCCACCACGTTATCTACTCAGCTAGTGAGTCCTAGCGACTATCTATCTATGCTTATAATACTTGTGTATTAAGGCTATATCGAGACAATACGCATAATATGCATATAATAAATTAATCAATCGCAGTTCTAAACATTCATGGGACGATTCAACTAAACAATACCAACTGAATTCACTATTAAAAACAGTTACTTATTAAAAATAATCAATATTTTTTTTGTTCTGTTTTTCATTCAATTATAAATTACGATTTATAAAAATGACTTTATTAATCTTAATATAAACAAACATTGGTCTATACAATATATATTGTTACATATATCTATCTATGTAATAATTAATAAGGTTACTATAAGTCATTCATAATGCACATCATCTTATATCTATCTATCTATCTATAGTTTTCATGTTTTATAAACAGACTAAACAACTAAATTCAGTATTCGTTCTATCATTACTCCCAATTATATTCACTTCAAAAATAACTGGATATATGTAGATACTACTAATAACCTTGACAACTATTTAAAATTTCAATACTATCACTTTATTGGTCAGGTATTATTATTATTATTATTATTAGATTCCGTATATATATGTATATATATGTATCAGCTAATGGATCCAATTATATTATCAATGTAATATGTTACCAATGCTAATAATGAATTATTCATTATAAAATTTAAACAACATACCTTGAATTATATAAAAACTTTCATCTAAATTAGAGCGAATAGTTTCACAGTATTTGTACGCCAAGTTGATTCATGTAAGACATGATTTCCTTAGAAAAAGATTAGACTAGATTGCTAGACGATACGTTCGATCTACTTCAACTTCAATTTGTTGAGATTTTACAACTACATATTCATGCCTATTTAATCCATTGAAATATGCTGCTAATCGAATTTCTATTCATTATATTATTACTATTTGATAAATCAATTTCAAAAACATCGCCAAATGTTTTATTCTATGAATTAAAACAAAATGAACATCATCATCAATATGATATACCAATAAATAATACAATCATAGAATTATCTTGTTCATTTGGCAACGAATGGTATATTCCTTCAACTATACCATTGAACTTCAAACCAATAATTATCATGGATCAAAAAAATAATAATCAAAGTAAACTTTTAATTCAACTATCGAAGAATAATACTAATAATTTACGTACTCATTTTCGTGGATTATATCAATGTTGTCAATCTTCGAATAATTATAATATAGGTATCCTTAATTGGTTACCAAATGAACCATCTTGTTGTCCATGTTGTCCATGGTATGAACAAGATCAATGTTTATTTAAACAAATTCAATTTACAAATCATTCAAATATTATCATTAAATTAAAAAATATAAAAACATATTGTGGTAGTGTATTTCTTCATATGAATTCAGTTATTATGACAACTATTCATTTAGATATTATACGTAATCAACCAATGCTTATCCCATGTCCTGGATTAAATAGTACATATCAAAAAGATTCCTCATTATTTTCAATTGATTATCAATTAACACCACATAAATCAAGTTATCAATTATGGTATCCATTTAAACAATTTAAACATTCAATTCAATATTATTATGATAATCGTTTTGGTTTATGTTTATTAAAATCACAATTTCCACGTATTATGTTATATATGTTATGTAATTATAAACAAATGAATGAACAACGTATTATACAACCAATATGGCCATTACAATCATTAGTTATATCACCTATCATTCATATATATTTACAATCTATAGAGGGCATAGAATATACTACTTATAAATTAATGAATATAAGTAGTCATTCTTATTCTTTTTTAAATAATATAAATTGGTTTATTAAATATTCTAATGAAGTTTTAATATTTCGTATAAAGCAACAAACGAAACTATTACGTTTAATATGTATTGGTAGTTATACACAAAAATATATTGTACATAAGCCAATAAGTAAATTATGTTTTAGATGGAAAATTTTAAATCAAGTAAGTACATTTTTCTGGTGAATGTTTTGTTTTTTAGCGAGTTGGTTTTTTTACAGGGTGGAATTGTTAAACCTATGTCTAACCTTCCTCCTTTATCTGGGCTTGGGAATGGAAATAGCTTCCAGAGGAGCTACAGGAGGAGTTATCGGTTCTAAAAACATAAGTATATTTTTCTAAAAAAAAATATGCTTACTTGCTTACGCCTGTTACCCTTCGTGGAGGAGCATAGGCCACTCACCAGCATTCTCCATCCAGACGGAGTTTTAATATACATATATATATATATATATATATATATATATATATATATATATATATATATATATATATATAATTTTCTATATTATGACATATCGATTGTAAATTAACATTAACATAGTTGAGATCATGAATCAATTGAAGCTAGATCACCATGGAAAAGCTGTAGGCATTGATGGTCTAACTTCAATGGATTCATGATGTCAACTATTAAAATTACGCTATAATATTCACAAAAACCCCTTCTGATAGTAACATTATATAATTAAAAGAAAGGGGATTATTAATAATCAAAGTAATTATTCGAAAATCAAGTTGTTGCTACGTTGCATAATAGATAAAAAGACGACAAACGATAAAATAAAATATTTTGATGAATGGTCAGTAATATAGTAGTTATGTCATAATCAAGAGATGAATGTTGACAATGGTAGGAACATGAAAACTATTTACCAAAGTTCTGCTACAAACTGCGCTATACCCATGACCAAAGTAGAGAAAGTGGGATTTGTGGGTGGGATTTTTGCGGATATGATAGTAATTTTAATGGTTGAAATCATGAGTCAGTTGGAGCTAGACCACCATGGAAAACCTAGAAGCACTGGATGGCCGTTTCTTCCTGTTGTGGGGCTCCTCAGCAGTTCGCATCCATGATCTAGAAAAAACCTCTTCTGATATTAATCAACATATACTCATTGGTGATTGGATTCATGAGGTATTTCCTGGAGTTCTAGTGAGAAGCAGTGACCAGTGGAGTTCTACCGGGTCTGTTGTGGGAATATTAACTCACTGAAGAAAATAGTGAATGTGTCGCTCAATTTCGTGGATCGTTCAAAGTTAGACGTTAACAGCGATGAGCGCCATCCGGCTTAGTGGTCTAGAGGTTAAGCGCTCACTTGGGAGACTGAAAGGTCCTTGGTTCGAATCTAAAGAGTCGGGATCATGGATGCGCACTGCTGAGAAGTCCCACATGAGGACAAAATGACCATCCAGTGCTTTCAGGTTTTCTATGATGGTCTAGCCTCAGTTGACTCATGATCTCAACCATTAAAATGTACTAAAATTGTTTAACTCTTTTGTGAATAGGAAAAACTGATCAATTTCCAACTATGTTTTGTTTGATAAATTACTCTTTAGTTTTCAAATAAGTTATAATGAGAATCTAACTATTTAATTGTGAAAAATCTCACTTAGACTATACTTTAAAACTTATTATAATTTTAGGATAATGTAAAACTTTCCAATCTATCTAATTCCCAAGAACATTATCAGATTGATGAACAAAGTTCATGGGAAAGAACAGAATGTTTGACTACATATCAAACATTTAATAAGTTTTCAATACTTTATGCTTATTCAAAATATGATCTAGATCTATCGAAAATCCCAAATGAAACTAATCAATCAGTAAATAACACATTTATACTTTGTGAAGTAACTACACCAGATAGAATAGCACCAATAAGTCAAAGAATAATTCAAATCGTAAAGACCACTAATCAAATATCAAATAAGCTTCACATAAGTTATCATTGTAACTGTATGGTTTTAGGTGACAATAAGTCTTCGTTTAGTGAAAATTCTACATTAAGTCTTCTCATCAAAAACAATTTCGTTAACTTGAATATATCATTTTGGACAGAACATGAAACTGACAATCAACCATTCTGTATTCTTATGAAACATGGTATACCTAAATCTGAACAGAAAACAAAAGAAACACAAATCACTCTAATTCGTAATAGAGATACTTGGAAATGTCTTATAAAGATAAAAATGAATATACCATATCAAACAATAACCTTATCTATTGGATATGGAGAGATAAAGAGAATATTCCAGATATTCATTGTCAAATCTATTTTGGAATTATCTAGAAATGTTGAAAATCTTCAAAGTCAAATTACACAACAATCTTATCTACATTGTATTCCAAATGATATGGAAAGAAGTATAGCTCAAAGATTCGGTTATGATTATCCAAATCATGTAACTTGGTTCATTTCAATGGATAATCATATTCAAAACTATACAACATATAATAAAACATTCGAACATATCTTCAAATTAATACCATTTTACAATATAACTAATTATCCTATGATAGTACTGAATCAAACAGGAAACTTATGGGAACGTCCCAATGAATTAGGTCATCTAAACAATTTGTATTTAAATGATTGGCCTAAACAATTATGTGTAAGATGTAGTAGTGTTTATGAAATAGGAATACACTTTAATAGTTATGAAAGCTGTACATTATTGAATGATTTCAATGTCATTGATACATTCAACAATACTGGAAACCATCGTGACCTTCAAAGTATCCGAGGAAAGAAGCAGTTATATTTTGTTATTGAATTAAATAATTCTTCAAAATTTTATGAAGTAAATTCACACTATAACAATTCAGAAATTTCTTTAATTCAAAATACATTTATCAGTTTAGAGTGTATACGTAAACTATATACAAAACCTGAACAGTTTAAACGAAAGGAATGGCCTGAATTAACTATTATTAATACACAAAATAATACTGAAGATCATTTGATTCATAATACATCTTGGATATTATCCCCCTATTCTTTCAAGGTCAAAAAAGTAATTCATTTAACCAAACCGCTTGTTTTTCATTTAAAATGCGCGTATAAAACTGAACAATTTCTAATTAAAATTCATACATTTAAACAAATTAAACCGGAAATTTTGAAACCAATTGAAAATATACAATTCATTAAAACAAATTTACAACAATCTACTTTATTCAATTACACTATTCATACTACTAATATAACTAAAAATAATATAGAATTAATATGTCAAGCTATTGGTTTACCAAAACCAACTATTCAATGGATGAAAGCAATTTATAATCATAATAATAAATCATTTATTAAATGGTTCAATGTACATACATGTTCAATAGATGATGATAATAATAAATTACCGTTTAATATCAGTATTAAAAATGATCAACAAATTCAAACATGTATCTATCATCTAACCAAATCAAAAGAGAATTTAAATCAATCAAATTATCAATGTTTAGCAACAAATATTGCAGGTCATACATTTAAACAAATCAAATTGATTTACCTAGATACTATTTTGATTAGTTCTAATGAAACGATACAATTACAAATTATGATGAAAAAGATCATTTCATGGATATGTTTCATTATATTACCAATAATATTAATTCTTCTCATCTTAGGTATCATTCTATGGTTATGTTATAAAATCAATTATAAAAATCAATGTACTTCAGAGATATCACTTCCAAATGTTCTATATAAACATATTTATAATCGTCTTCATTCATATCATTATAAAGCATCATTATCATCATTATTATCAACATCATATAGTTTGAATAAAGATTATAAATCTATTGAACAAGTATTAAGTCAATTATTAGGTTTCACTATCAATACTACTAATAAAGATACTACTGATATCACAACAACAACAACAACAACTACTACTACTACTACTAATGCAAATCATTCTATAAATCAAATTAGTAAATGGATTATACCATGTAAATTTATTAAACGATCTAATGATTCACTTGGTTCAGGTTATTATGGTTCAGTATTTAAAGGATGGTTACATAGTTCATATATAAAAGATACATTGAATAGTCAATTCAATGATATATTATTAAAAGAGGATACAGATAATTATATTGTTGCTATGAAAATATCATCAATAGTTGAAAATACTACTATTAACAATAATAATAGTAATAATGATAGTAGTCAATTATTATGCCTCAAAAATGAAATACGTATATTAACCAACTTAACTAATTGTGATAACATAATTAGAATGATTGGAATCATGTTTGAAAGTAACCTCAAAAGGAATAGATGCCCATTGAATGGTGTCAATTTAATTCTTGAATATTGTAAATACAAAAATTTAGCTCATTTTATTCGATGTCATTCACATCAAATAATAAATAGTTTAATGAATTATGAAGAAGTTCAATTGACTAAATTCTATATGAAAGACAACAAGATGAATACTAATGATAGAATAATATTGGAAGAGTATAGATTAACTATAAAAGAGATATATCGTTTTGCTTATGGAATTATATCAGGTATTGTATATCTAGTAAAGAATTATGTCATACATAGAGATCTGGCAACTAGAAATATTTTAATTAATCATAATTATATACCAAAGATTAGTGATTTTGGTTTAGCTGTACAAATGACACCAATTAATGAATTAATAAATGATCAAATCTATAATATTAATGGTGAATTTAATGAAGATCAATTGATTGATGAATATTATCGTGTATTGACGCCAAGAAAAAAGTTACCTTTACGAATTCTACCACCTGAAGCATTATTACAACATAAATTTTATTTTAGTTCAGATATATGGCAATATGGTTTATTGTTATGGGAATTGTTTCATTTGGAAAAACGTGAACCATTTCAAGAGATTAAAACATTTCAAGAATTAGTCGGTATGTTATCAGAGCATAATATAAGTAACAACAAGAATAACGATACAAATTGTAACTTGGATGTTTCAAGAGAGATGTTGAACAAAACAACGAATTGTCAAAGATTATTACCACCATCCACATTAGATAGACCTATATTAGTGAATGATGAATTATGGGAGATGATGTGTCAAATGTGGTCTTATAATCCACACAAACGACCTACTGCAGCACAAATTCATGATAAACTAAAATACTTACTTGAGGACACTAAGGAAATATTCAGTTGCACAGACTTTCAGTACAACTGTCATGCATACCGCCATCATAAACACCATAGCTGTACATACAAGAATTGTAAATTTTTGTCAGATACATCTTTCATAGAAGTTCATAATCATTCGGTACACAGTTACGAAAATACAATCCAGTCTACGTGAATTACTTGTCAGTAATACACACCTTATCTACAGTGCCCATTACCCTATAATGTATATAAACTATAAAAATTACTATTATTTTAAACGATTTGGTCTTTCTATTTTTACTCATCCAGAGTGAAATTAGTTGGATTCGCGTGCCTTGTTACACTTAGTATAAGATATCAGTTGATGAGCTCTCGAAAAAGAGAGAGAGATGGGTGGATGCTTTCTAGTATCTTGATGATTGTAATCACAGACCACCAATGATTATAAATGCCTGGAATCTAGGATATATAAGTCTAAAAAACCACAAGCTTCTGAGTTGACATTTTACGATCCATATTGATCGTATTATGTAATCATCGCTGGAAATCGTCAGTAGTTATCTGTCGTCCCCAAAATGTCACATATCACGACTAAAACTCCAGAAGGAGTTTTAGATAGTTTTCAATTTAAAGACATAGCTGACTATAATATTCATTAAGAACCTATAAGGGGATAAAAATAGACATTATACTAGTCATATGGAAGTGCGGTTTTTCAAATACATTATGCATTGAAAAAATAGTGGCGATTGTATAAGTTGATACCAAAATTCAAACTATGTTGACTGTGAATTAGTTATTAAAGTATTCTACGTTTATTCATTCATTCAAAATATTAAAACTCTGCCCACTTGATTTTGTTTACGAAACTAGTTGGTATCATAATCCTTCACATAGAATGTATATATGTATGAATGAGACAGACAGAAAAGATCTGTGATAAAATTTTAAACTATGAAGATGGGTCACACAATTTCAGATTCCATGGGAAGCATGAATTCCTTCAAGACGGACTTCACAGCTGGTTAACGAGTTCCAAACAGAAGTAAAACTAGGTTCACGATTTCCTACAGACTACTCTCAACTCTCTAACATGACAAGAGCAGTTATTAGTAGAAGGATGATTAAGAGTATATTTGAGTTGTTCACTTAGTTCAACGGATTCAGTAGCCGATAGAAGTCCATGATAGGCTAGATGTTAAAACTAAAAATCAAATAACTGAAAACGAAAAGGAACTTGAAGATTCACACACTGGATGATTATTAAAAGTGCCATTTGTAAAACTGACAAACTAATGCTGAAATAATCCGAGCGTAGAACTAGTAGATGAAGTATTTAATTTGTTGTTAAATTTTACTGGAGTCAAAAGAAATGAAGGATTAACTACCTAATTAATTTGAAAAATATACTGGTCGTGTGTAACATTTCACTTGTTGAAGTTCACACCACAAATATGTATATATACATACATATATATATATATATATATATATATATATATATATATATATATATATATATATATATAGGAATACACGAAAACATATTTTATGCAGAATCCACTCTGACCCGAATGACACGACAGTAGAATGATCAGAATTCCTTGAGAGTAATAACTGCTTAATTTCCTTCGTTCTTTGTAGTATTTAAACTTGAACTAAATTTTCAGAGTTATTTATTCCTTGGATAAGTAAAGAATAGCATGTTGTGAAATGTTAGAATTTCAACTTTTCTAGTCATTTAGCTATTATAAATATGTAGTTAGTATTCATGGAAGTGGATCGGACACACATTGAGGAAAGCACCCAACTACGTCACAAGACAAACCATCACATGGAATCCTGAAGGCTAAAGGAAAAGAGAAAGAACAAAGAACACAATACGCTGAGAAATAGATACAGACATGAGAAGAATGAACAAAAAAATGGATAGAACTAGAAAGGAAGGTCCAGGACAGAGTGGGTTGGAGAATGTTGTTCGGCGGCCTATGCTCGATTTGGAGTAACAAGCGTAAGTAAGTAAGTAAGTAAGTAAGTAAGTAAGTAAGTAAGTAAGTAAGTAAGTAAGTAAGTAAGTAAGTAAGTAAGTAAGTAAGTAAGTAAGTAAGTAAGTAAGTAAGTAAGTAAGTAAGTAAGTAAGTAAGTAAGTAAGTAAGTAAGTAAGTAAGTAAGGTGGTATTCATCATGAATTGACCTTATCTGAAATACTATAGGAAACTAATGATCACTGAACAACTATCTCGTCGTCGCAGATGATGATAGATAATTGTCATTAAATTATATTGAAGATTTGACATTGTTTTTATAATTAAGATCAGCATACTTAATGTTAACTTCGTTTGAAATTATTAGGTCAAATTTTGATAGTGACGTTTGCAGTTCAAGTATTAATCCTTATATTTTTGTGTTTTTAAGTCAGATAGAAAAGCCATTTATGATTATTATTATTATTCAATACTATTAATCCGTTGGCAGAGTGATAGGTTGGCTTCATATTAACTACTTATCGTCATTTATATGACGTACTGACCGATGTAACGAACTATATATTTTTCATATATGGAACTATCCTAAGCAACTTGAATGATCTGATTTTCAGAATTTCAAAATGAATAGTCCGTTATGAAGAATATTCATATACACGTATTTATTTTAGTCTTCATTAAGGACAGAAAGGTTGGCATCCACAAGTCTTATTGGGTATATTCTATAGAACCTATGACTCTGAGGGGAAAATGTTCTTGGGAGTTCGATTGGTCAGGATCTGCTTGAGAAGGGATATAAAATGGATGATATTAAGGAATACAAAGCAGTGAATAGACAATCAAAGCCTACTATATTAAAATTTGTGGAAGCCGTGGAGATTAGAAGGCTTAAAACTAACTTTCGTATTCAATAAGATTTAGTGGCTAACCTTCAACTGCCTTCGCAACTGAATCATTCTCAACCCTTTTTCCAGTTTTACTCTTCATTAAATTATTACCGCAGCCTAGTGCGTTTAGGTCTAATGCCTTTTTCATAGCACTTGGGTTTTCTTAATTTTATGTTGCAATAAGCATTATCTTAAATAATCCACAGCTGTCGTTTCAGGTGTTTATAATATCTTCACAAGTGTTGAATGTAGTGAACGAGAACACAAGTGGGGACAATCGGATGTATTACAACACATTATAACAGAATCTCAGTAAAATCTGAGAACCATACAGAAAATTCTCTATTTGCTAACTGCGAATCAACAGTCTCAAACTTAACTGTACCTTCTGCAAAATGTCAATTAATCGTCTTAGGCTTCATTTTTCTTTCGTTTCCACACCAATTATTTTTTGTTCTCGTTCTCTTTCCTTCGATCTTCTTAACATTCTGCCATCAGACATTTCACTTTTAATTGATAACACATACTACTGATATGAGTCGGCATCAGTAGCACACACCATATAACCACTTACTTAATTACTCCTGTTACTCCCAGTGGAGCATAGACCGCCGACCAGCATTCTACAACTCCCTCTGTCCTGTGCCTTCCTTTTTAATTCTATCCAATTGTTTTTCATTCTTCTCATGTCTGTCTCCATTTCTCGGCGTAATGTGTTCTTTGACCTTCAGGATTCCATGTGATGGTTTGTCTTGTAACTCAGTTGGGTGATTTCCTCAATATGTGCTCAATCCACTTCCAGCACTTCTTCCTCATTTCTTCCTCCGCTGGAATCTGGTTTGTTGTCTCCCACAGTAACTTGTTTCTGATAGTGTCTGGCCAACGAATCCGAAGTATCTTGCGTAGACAACTGTTTATAAACACCTTTATCTTCTGGATGATGGCTTTCGTAGTTCTCGAGGTTTCCGCCCCATACAATAGAACTGTCTTGACATTCGTATTGAAAATTCTGATCTTAGTGTTAGTTGACAGTTGTTTTGAGTTCCAGATGTTTTTCAGTTGTAAATATGCTGCTCTTGCTTTGCCGATTCGTGCCCTCACATCTGTATCAGATCCACCGTGTTCATCGATGATGCTGCCCAGTTAAGTAAACCAACTGGAAACTTATGTTTAAGGCTTCTTTCTAATTATTTTTGATCACTGACGAAATATCACTGAAAAAAAGTTGTCGAAAAACATGACTGATACATAACTATCTAGTTATTATTTAAAATATATCGGACAACCGTAAATGAGATTTTATTTACATTTACATATCAATGAACAGTTATATTTATGTTATAAACGTTGTTTATACCTAGTGAATGACATCATATAATGTCAGGTTTTAATTTGATATAAACATTCATGTATAATCTATGCATAAATTTTAGGTTAGATAAAATCATTTATCAGGAATACTACCACTAACTCAGGGTCTAGAAAGTCGGAAAAATGAAAATTTCACAGATGCGATAAAAATGATCTTGGTGGTCTTGACATTGTGGATGGTTCGACATTGTTTTTGCAAGTTTTGCTGACTGCTCATGTGAAGAGTTGGTTTGTCAGTTGACCGATTTCATTCATACTGGTGGTTGATTTTCAATGTTTTCAAGAGCCATTGTCATTGTAACATTGTAAGGCATGTCGCCATTTCTAACAGTAATGAGTTTGACTGTCGTGTAAGCGGAATGGGTCAACTTTGGCCCGTTCATGCTGTGCATAATTGATTTGCGCGATGACTGATCGGAATAATTATACATGTGAAGTGAATTTGTATATGAATGATGCGAATGGTCCACCACGGTGCATGTTACTTGTGTGGTTGCTTCACAGGATTGAGCTGTACTAATCAGATTGTAGCGTTGAAGCCCATATAGTGTCTCGTTCTCCTATTAGGCGGGATTGAGCTGTACTGCTCGGGTTAAGCCTGGGTAGTGTCTGGCTCTCCTGTTAAACGGGATCGAGCTGTACTGTTTGGGTTGTCACTTGAAAATGTGGATGGTATTTGGTTCTCCTGAAAATCAATGCAAAATTACCCTGACTCACAAGGGTATATTATATATATATTTATATATATGACTGAAAATCATTTATCATTGTACATTTAACAATCTTGGTTCTCCGTTTCTTTATTTACATTGACCAACTAAGCCAATAGTCTAAGTTATATTTAAGTTAGATAGATTAAGAAGATACATTAAGATCTAATTTATTATATTATCGTTATTGAAATAAGTAAAGAAATTCTAACATCAGATCTAGTTCCACTTCATAATCAATGATTTCCAAGAAATCATCATCTGGAAAACGTCAAGTTTCTTTTACATTTACTAAAAACATTCTACATAGTTTAAATATGAATAAGC